AAACTTAAAAGCTTGTGTTGACATAAACAAATTAATTTACTTGTGTGAAGCATGGAAGGAGGTAAACATTTGTCAGTGTTATAGCAATTTTTTTGCACAGTGAGCTACACCTATCACTGTAAGGGCTTCGGATTGGCATAGATTGCTTTTAAACTCTACATGAATAAAAACAACACTGGAAAAAAGCTATATTACCTTTTGTCAGTTATTTCTATCTATAGTTAAAAGTCAAAAGTCAAGACATGACAACAGCTAAATACACAGATAGAATACATATATTATCCAATCGCAGTGAAGCAATAGAGCTTGGTCATTGATTATCACCCAGCTTGATAACTGGATAGTAAGGCAGCATCACCACACCGAGGTGGTCTCTCTCTCTCTCTCTCAATTGGAGGGCTGCCCGTCCCTGTCTGAAAACTGAGAGATTTTCGTACTTAGAATTGCTTTAATTAAAAACAAATTATAGTTTTATTATTATTAGATGATACATTCTCGTCGCCAGCCTTGTTGTGTGAGCTTCGGGCTTTGATCAAGGGGGGTTGCAGTGAACTCAATCCATTCACAGTTTGCGGACATGGTAAACTAATGTGGTTGTTCGCCGCCTTGGCAACCAACTGCCAATAATGCACTTTCTGGCCTACGAACTGTGACCAGGTGGCCTAGAAAGGCCAATAATGGGGGCTTTCTTATGTGCCAGCCACTAAACTATGAAAGATAGTGTTCACAGTAACCTTTTGTCAGTGTGTGCTGGAGTAGATAGGGAGAGCTAACACTGCATTGTACAGTGTTGTACAGTGCTATATACAGTGCTGGATTGTGCTAGCAATTGCTAATTGCAGTGTGGTGGGCTACATCTTAATGTGTGCCCCCCCCCCACACACACACACACACACTTAAAGTGGCCGCTAAAGCATTCCTCCTTCCTCCTCCACAAGATTGTCCATCTGCATCCGCAGCAACGTCTCCAGTCTCAAGTGATAGATGGGGAGGAAAGTCTCGCAAAGGGTTTCAGAGGTTTACCTTATGGTACATCTAGCTGGTACTCTGCGTAGATGTCGTGTGTAGGTTTGAATCTAGCTGTAAGTTACCAACAGGCAACCATCTACAGCAGCATCATTAACCAGGCAGGTTCTTTTCTGTAGAAAGCAGAAAAATAACCCCTAATACTCCCTTGCCCAGGGTCTCAATACCAGCTAGGAAAAACTGCTGGTTTTACAGCTGCTCTCATTCCAGCTCATGCAGTCAATCACCTACACAAGCTTGTTACCTGTGCAACATCACAGTGGCAAGTACCCAGTTATCATAAATTTGTCCAGAAATCCACCCCTGCCCTCCCACCAGCATGTGGAAAGTAATGCCTGTTTTGCTGGACCACGCTATCAGCGACAGAGTCCACATGATCGCAGACACAGGACCCAGCAAGCTTGGGCAGGGATGTTACATTTCCTTCATGGCACACTGGGTATATTTCCTGGCAGCTGGGAAGGGTGCAGGACAGGGCACACCACTGGAACTAGTGTTCTTGCAGGTTAGTGTAGGTGACTGCACAGTCACCTCTACCCATTCCTCCTCAAAGGCTTCCACTTCTAAATCTGAGGAACCACTAGTTTCCCCCTAAGCATCCTAGAGTCTATGCAACAGCCCAGGCCAAACAATGTCACACTTTTTTTGCAGCTGGTATGCCTGGGAGACAGAAGCAACACTGTGCTAGAGATACTGACTGCTCTCAAGCGTAGGCGAGAGGTGATTGACCCCACACAATCTTGTGCCAGGCAAGGTCATGTGCGACAACAGCATCAACCTGCTGGATACTTTTTGGCAAGGAAAGTTCATGCATGTACCTGGCCTGCCACAGATCCTGAACCTATTGGTGCAGAAGTTCCTGTTAGGTTTCCTGGTTTTGCAGACCAGAGGACTGTGCGACCACTTTATGTGGTCATACCCTATGAAATTTTGCCTGGCTGAAATGCAGGGGCAATGCAGGCTGCCTGCCAACCAGGCCATCAATGAGTATAGTACAAATACAGGATGAGGACATGGGGTTCATTTCACCATGTTAGTGGCTCCTAAATCAGGAGACATGTAGCATGTTGTCATCATTCAAAGAGGTGAGCTGCAATAAATTGGGGGATTATCGACATTATCCCTCTGGTATTCCTGCTGGAGAACACACTCCATTGTTTCATAGTTCAGGCACTGGAGGCACAGCTGCAGGGGGAATAGGAGGACTTCCTGCTGTCTCAGATCCAGCAGGATCCTTTGCCTACTGCCTCAATCCCAGTGAGGCAGAAGAGAAGGAGGAGGGTTGTGTTGCTGGTGGTGAAGAGAAGGAGGAAACACCTCTCAAACCCCATGCGGTAGGGGTGAGTGCATTGAGGTCACTGTATCCTCAGCGACACTGAGGACTTGTGGTCCTCTGCTGCAGGCAATTTGTGTTGAAAATAATCATTCATTATGAAATGCTCCCAGGATTTGGGCCATGAAGGAACTGGGAGCATTACTGGATGGCCACCCATTAAGTCCCGGATAGAAGGGGAAAATGGCATATCTTATACTACCATCCCAGAGGGAATATAAAATGCACCAAATCGAAGATGCGATGTGGAAGAACCTCTTGGAACACATTTCCAGATAGAAGCAGAATCTCTTATGTCCAACGTGCCTTAAAAGGTGGTATGTGGTGGTGGCTGCCTCTTATTTTTCCAACCACCTAGGACAGGCCCACCTGCTGGCAATAGTCACACACAGCACCTCAACCATATGATTTCAGACTCCTGAGGTCCAGGCCTCATGCAGGGACTCTTTGAAGTGAAGACCACAAGGACTATTGGGTGCCCAGGCTGAACCACAGTCCGGAGTTTATATAATATGCACTGGAAATTCTGGCTTGTCCTGTGGACAGTGTTCTGTCAAAGAGAGCCATCAGCACAGCAGGCAGTTTTGTTCCCTGACACTGTGGAAAGGTTCAGTTTTTTAGAAAGTGAGCCTGTCCTGGATTAGCAATGTAACAACTGTGAATTATTAGCAGATGCAGACACAGAGACCTTACTTGTACTTACTTTGAGACCTTACTTTGCAGTTGTTAGCAGATTTGCAAAGATTAGTGGATCTTTATAGTGCAAGTAGGACCTAAGCTAAGCACAGTATTATCCCACCTAGTGCCTATACACCTGTCATTCCAAGTGTGCCTATATAACACTTTATTTTTAACAAATTAATATTAAAATCAGCTGTCAGTAGTATAGTAGAGATGTAGCAAACATGCTCTTCCCAGTCTACACTCTCCAACAATAAATGAGAGATTTATAATGGAGTTCATATCACAGTTCAAGGCTCTGACACATTTCTCTGTTCACAAGCCACAAAGCCATATATTTAACTCTATTTCACATTTAGTAGTTCATTCATCACTTATGTTTATTACATTAAATGTGTGTTTAAAATTGTGTGTCTAAAACGGCTGCTGTCAATCAGCATAAGTGGACCTGAAGGAGAACTTCAGGTCCACCTCTGCTGATTGACAGCAGCAGTGGGCGGGTGCAATAGCCAGCCCGCTATTGGCTATGGCAATGTAAAATGGCCAATAACAGGCTTGCTATTTATTCCCCCGCTATCTTTTTATTTTTATTTTTATTCTGATGGCGGCTTCTTTCAGAATACAAAAAAAAAAACCACAAACCAGCAGATAGCAGGGGATCCCGGGAAATGTTTACTCTGCTAGACAGAGCAGAGTAAACCTTTCCGGGATAAAATGTTTCTCTCCCAAGCATCAGGGAGTCGCTAACTTATAGCGGGAGAATCCTGGAAAGTCTGAGAGAGTTGGGATGTCTGCAGTACTGTTTGAGCTGCCATTTCCAGAGGGACACAGTGAGACCCAGTACAGTTGGGGTGCTGGTTATGTGTTTAGATGAAGCACTGAGATCTTGAGTGGAATTAAGTTTTGCTTGGCAGGACATTACTTGTATGTATACAGGAATTCAGCATTATCATGAAACATATATACAGATAGAACTTCCTGTGTATATCATAGATATGTATGCATAGAGACTAACATTGCATCACAGCGCCATCTACAGCATTAACTGCCCTTCTTCTAGTGCCCACAAACTGATGTCCACTCAAGTAGTATAATGCAAAATAAACGGTTTATTGAACATCTTCACTGGGGAGAAAGGGTAGAGGGGATCTAAGCTTCCAGAGGTAACTGACAAGAGCTCCAGACTCACCAGACCTGGTTGACATATCAGTGTAGATCCACTTGGGAGGCAGCGGACAGCAACTGAAATAGCAGATGAGCAAGGATGAACACAGATCCTCAAACAGGAAAGACACCGACCATACTCCTGAAGTCCTCCTGAAGTTCCAGGATACGTCAAGAGCCAGCATTGGTCCTGGGTCTCTTCCTCTATCAGCAACACAGGCCTCCTCCATGTTGGAGGCCTCAGGGAAACCTTTCCCTCCCACCCACCAGCCCATGGCCCCCCCAGGCCTCAGGCCTAGCCTGGGGGGCAGGCTGAACCGCACCCAGCCCTATTCCATGGCTGGTCCCAGCTAGTCTGAGCACATGGCAAATCCCTCCAGTATATGTACCCTATCCCAGCATGAACCACTAGCTGAGAGAAACTCAGTGATTGGCTGCTGTACTGTACATACACTACAGTGTCTCTCATTGGCTGTCCCACAATATGACAGAGTC